AGCAAGTGTCTGGCAAGCTTTCATCAGTGTGATGGTGAATTCATGGTTTTGAAAGAAGCAGTTCTGTCCCTCTGGCATTAATTTAAGAAATCATTCTCACATGATCACTAACTGCGCAGCGCCAGTTATCAGGAATGTGAGCCCACAAATAAGGCTCAGAACGCTTTAAAAAAATGAGTGAATTGCACCATTTAATGATGGGTATTGTTTATGCAATCTCATGGTATGTGCCAGTAATATTTGCTCCTTTACCCATTCTATGATATGGGTTCTCTTGGCAAAAATAGAAAGAGAAATACAATTTTACTGCTTTTTGAGTTTGTCTATCGGATTATTATTTTTGTTTTTCACAATGGTAGCAAAAGTGTACGGCACAACAAAATGGGGAAGAGTGCTTTTGGGTGTCTGCATAACCACTACAAATTTTCATTCAGTTTGTGGGCGGGTAATTTCTGTTTTTTTTTTCCAGTTTGAGGAGAAGTGCTTCTGATTTTAGATATTAAATGATAAATGTAACCTTAAACCTTAAACGTAGGCTGAAACATGTTTTTCATGTTTACAAAAAAGCATTTGTGTTATGAAGAGAATTATTGCATTGTATCTTATTCTTTCCTTAGTGATGGCTTAATGTATGTTAACTTTCTGTAAGTGATTACTTGTAGTACTTGTTATTTGTTGAAATTAGAAGTTTTTTTATTACTTGCTGGGTTGCTGTGATAATTGCAATAACATGCGATGACACACAAAAAAGATTTTCTTCTGAGATTTATTTTGTGGTTTAATCATACAATATGGAGTAAAGTTCAGAACAAAGGGATTTGTCTCCAAAGATCAGTTTGTGTTGAATTTACCTTGAAAAGTGTTTTTTTAACCCAAGGTAGCTGAAGCCAAGTGTTTTTGTTTCAGAAAGTAGGTTAGGTGCACAGCTCAAATCAGGCTGTAGAATCTAGCAGGTTATCTATATCTTTTTAAATAATCAACAGATCCTCGAACAGTGTTCAGTTAGTGCAGTGAAGATAATTATTAGTTCAGTAAGAGTTAATAATCATCAAATCAGAGATGGAATGAAAATGCTCAGTGTGGGGATCCAGCTTTGGAACTATGCATCACTACCGTAGTCAGATTGCTGTGGTTCAGTCTTCTGGTTGAAAAATAATTTTCAAAAAATAAAATCAAGACCTTCAGCAGAACCTAATCTATGTCATTAGATGGGGAATTAATCAAAACAGTGGGTTTTTCGTGTCAGGGTGAACCGTAGTTCCAAATTCAGTATGTTGTTGTCATAAAAATAACTGATTCTTTTCTGTACCTCTCTCTGTTTATTTTGGTGACCATCTGCTAGCAAGGTAAATCTGTTCAAATTTTAGAACTAAAGGCTGTTCACCCAAGTAACACTAGATTTTCACCAAAATAACCAAGAGGTAGCATTTCCGGCTATAAACCACAAGAGGGCAGGCTTTATTTGTTTGGAACTTATAACTTGGTCTTGAGCTTCAAGAGAACAGCTTCAAATGTATTGTGAATTTGAAAGCTTATGGGTTTTTTGAGTTTTGAAGTTCACATATTATATGTGTGCTATATTGCAAGGTGTTTTATTTTTGCAGAGATATCATACAGTAAAAGAACGGTGCTTTATTCCATCACAAAACCCCCAAAGGTTATTTTCTATTTCAGCCTGACCAGATTCTTATATTTGTATGTATTTTATTACTGATATAGAACAAGGGTGGTAGGCTATGGTCCTGACTAATCACAGTCCAGGAGGCCATACAGGTCACCTTTTAATGATTATATTGTCCCTGTCTCTGTGTCTGTGTCTCCCTGGAGAAAAGCTGGGGTATGCGAAAAGACGCATTCCTAATGCAAGAAATTGTATAGGGCTAATAAAGAAACATTATTATTATTATTATTGTACAGATATGATGAATTAAAAAAGTTAGTTCAATTCATTCAGGAGCTGTGGTGCCTGAGAGCTGGAGGTTGTTGGTATTCTCAATTCAAATGATCTCTTAACCTCTTATTGAACAAATGTGCTGCTTAGGTGATCAAACTGAAGTTTTCTTATGTGTAGAAATTGTTGTGGCTTTCCAGGACCAGGGTTAGCTGTCCCTTATATAGAAACTTGTACTCAAATCAGGGAGGTGTCTTTTAACGCACCTAAGCCAAGGTGATCAAATAAACTTTGTTCCCAACTTATGGAAGAAAGCTCTGTGCTAATCATGAAAGACTGCACCCAGTTCTCTGTTTCCAAGGCCTTTATCATGGCTGTGATGCCAGTGAATGTAAAGCAACTAAACGCATGTAGCTACTAAATTCACTTGGTATTATATCTCTGAATTGTTTGTTGTATTCATCTTTGTGCTGGTGTATTGGAGAGCCACCTAACAGTACTGTGTTTAAAAGATTGATTTTAGTTTTATGTTGCAGATTTAAAGAACCAGGGCAGGCATGTTGGCGCAGTGGTCAGCATTGTTGCCTTTAGCTCCTGGGGGTCCCGAGTTCGATCCCAGAACCTGGGGTGCTGTCTGTGTGGAGTTTGCATGTTCTCCCAACGTTTGTGTGTCGAGTGCAATGGCTTCCTCTCGTGGTCCAAGGACATGGTGGTACTGTAGGTCGGTGTCCCATCCAGGGTGTATTCTGTCTTACATCCGTAACTTATTGGGATAGGCTCTGGCTCCCCCGGCGACCCTGTATTGGATGAAGTGGTTAGAAAACGTATGGATTTAAAGAACCAACCATGAAAGGTTGTGTAAAAGTCTTCCCACATTCAGTTTGAATTGGCTGGTTAAGCCAACGATTCCTTCACTAGTTTAGACCTGGGACAGGGAATAAGGTGAACTAGGAACACTGGGAATAGTGTGAACTAGATCTGGGAAGTTCACCGAGCAACTCCCACATGTCTAGAGCACCACTGGGAACTTGGAAGCATATATTGAGAATGATAATTGGACAAATTGAACTCAAACACGGTCTTGACACTTGTTGCAAGTGACACTAGAATTTAAAACAGAGAACAGGAGATACGTCTTTACACAAATGGTTGTGGAAGTATGGAACAACTTCCCCAGCCATATTGTTGAAGCTGGTACCCTCACATCTTTCAGGAAACGTCTGGATGAGATCCTTGACTCATTTAGCTACTGTCTACTAAACGGACTAGATGTACTTAGAAACTAAATCGTAAAAGTAGACATGTTCTTAGATTGTTGGGGGGGCATTTATTCATGGGGCATTATCTTTGCCAGATCTGTGTGTTGTGTTAAAAATAATATTTTGCTTACTTGTAAAGAACTTTGAGTTGAGTGTCCATAAAAACACTATGTAAGTGTAAGGCATTTTATGGTAGGTATTTCATGTTAATGCTTTGTGTATGCTTCTTTAAAAATAAGTGGAAGCATATGGAAGAGTCGAGGATAAAGTCAGAATTTTAGTTATTCACCAAGGGTAATACAGTGTTCAGTGTGTTGGAAGAACACCAAGAGGCAACTAGTGAGGCATCCTGCTGTTGACCTAAGTCAGTTCTGTCAATTGAGACAAGAATGTGCCAACATGGAAGAAGAAGAAAGAGAGCAAGGTACAGATGCCTGTGTCCAGCCCCTGCTTACAAGAGCCCTGCAACACAAAAGATTGGGTCCCTGTCTATTACTTAATGCTAAGGTTAACTGTGTAAACTAGACATGGCTTTACTGATGCAAAAGTGAAAGCATTGTTCTCAACGAGGAGAAATATCTGAAAAGAGAGAAAGGAATGTATATTTGTGACAGCTGTTGAAAATCGTTGTTGATCCTTTAGTCAGGGTTACAGCTTGGATACATCAGCGACTTAACAAGCGTGCAGCCCAGAGTGATAGCCTCGAAGTGAATGCATAAAAAAAAAAACAAAACAAAAAATGAAACACTACTGACAGATGTCAGAAGGGGACCTCGTACCACAGCTCAGGGGGTTTCTAACATTCTGGCTTATTGATTCTTCCGCAATTTTCTGAAATGTGTTTGCAGGACTTGGAAGAACATACTGATTGCCTAAAAAGCAGTCATAGAGGCATACAGTACAGAAATCTGCATAACTTTGCTTAAGATTGATTTGTAATGAATTAGGTTTTTTAATTAAAATCAGTAAAATAGCATGGTCAAATACTGCACATCTAATAAATTATACAAGTGAAAAGTTTGTATAATTAATGTTTGGATTATTTTTGTCAGCCGTGAAATCTTTAAATTAAATAAAAGGTGAACCTTTCTTTCCATTAATGAATGTTTTAATGGAAAATGTTAATACTTTGAGCTTTCTTTTTTATGAATGCTGGAGAATCTCCATACAGTACACTGAGGATGCAAAGAGCTGTTTGTTTATTGTAAAATAAGTATAGGCCTTACTATTTAGAAATAAATGGGAAAGTTATGATTCATTGAAAGTTCTGTATTTCTTCCTCTGTCAGTTATGCAACATTAATATTGAGAGGCTTTTATGCCCCAGTTTTATAACACATTACAAAGGTGAAATATAAACCCAATCAACTAGGTGATTTTATATCCTAAAGCTACCTTTCTGTGTGCTTCCTGCTGCTAAAAATCTATAAAACATTCCTCACTCTATAAAAAAGTCTAAAAGCATGAGAAATCAGAGCAGTAGTCCTGTTAATTTCTTTAAAGTGCAATTTTTGAACCATACTGGTAAAACACGTCCATCCAGGTAAAACAATTTGCTTTGAAGATTGCATATGCATTTAAAGAAATTGGTGGCTAACTTGCATTACAACTGAATGAGATTCTGAAAGGGTGGTACATTTTCTGAGGAATTACCGCCTCTTGGTACTTGCTTTGCAATTTCTGCAAGATCTGCAAATTTGCATTGCTTTAAAAAAAAAGATCCATTTCGCAGTTCCACACAGCTTGTGACACAATTGAATAGCTTACTTGTAACTGCCAACGCTTTCCTGATGAGTTTCAAAAAGGAACAGTTTTAGCTGGGCTGATGAAAGTTTTTAATAGTGTTTACTGAGGAAGGCTGATAAGACTTGTTTTGCTTTCAATGGGAAGGGACTTTGAAAGGCTCAGTGTGAAGCCCTCCTTACTTACTGAGGCTGCTGAACGGCTCTGCTAAAGGGAGCTGATATCCTGTTTCTCTTGGAGGGGCTTGACTGCTCTCATTTCGAAGTTGAGCCTCGAAGCCCCCTGCAACTGACGAGCGGAGTAGTCAGTGTGGGGCCTTCGTGCCGACCAAAGGAAAATGGAGCGCGATTTTTCTCTGTTGAGAACGGAGGCGCTGTGCGCTGTGAAAACTGCCCTGGTGACTGCTGAAAACTTACAGCTCACCTTGAAGCCAGAGCCCACGCTGGAGGAGCAGGCACTGACCAATAGCAGTAACGCTAGCAGTGTGGAAGAGGACGGCTGTGCTGGGTATGTGCTCAAAATAGGGACATGTAAAGTGGGGTTTAACGATTTAATGCAGTATTGCAAAAATGCCGTGTTTCATTGCAGTGATATGATGACTGATAGATCTACATGCTTACTTTGTGAAAAGCTATTGAAACATGTAACTCAGGTTTTCTAGTCATTAGGTACCATATGTGTCTGTGCTTGTGTGTGTGTGTTGCTAGTACATATACTAAATTTATTTTCAGCTATTTAAAATGCTACTAATGCTATTAGTCCCAGTTTGTAATCATTCTATATATATACAATGAGGTATGTACCTACTTAGCAATAAAATTAATGCATTTTAATTAGCTCTTCCTGTTTGCTGATGGGGGTAGTCTAATGAGATGTCTAATCTCTCCTGTTGCATCTGCAAAGCCAAAGTTAGTCGCCCCGCACAAGTATTTCACCCTGCTGAGGGCTCATCAGCATGGCAGAGCTCACCTGGTTCAATGAAACAGATGTATATATGACTCCGCATTGTGAAATGGTAGGAGCTAATGAGCGATCTTTCCCACAGTTAATAGTGACTCTTCAACACACACCATAAACCTGAAAGATATTCCTTGTGGGCGGTACATGACTTTGGTGATCTGCATAATTTTTATGCAAATAATTTTTAGAAATGTGCAAAATAAGTTGCGTTTCGGCATTCAGGGTAACAGGCACCTTGAAATTACAGCCTTTTGTTTTTGATATACCTAGCACTTCTGAGCTGTGAGTCTTTCAATCTTAACTCTTAGTGATTCTAAATTAGCAAAGCAGAGCAGGGTTTGTTTTGTGAAAAACTGAGCCTTCTTCCTCCTGGCTGTGTTTAGCATTCTGCCGTTCCAGACCATTCTCTATTGCATATTTTAAGAATGCATGCAATCCTGTAAAACGTGCACACAGTGGGACGTATTTGTTCTGGTAGTTTTACTACGTCTCTATAAACACAAAAAATATTGTAACTGAATGGCTTGTAACATTTTCTTTATTCCTTTATATTTTTTGTTATTGGTGTGTTCTCTTTCCCTTTAGTGACTCCTAACTGGTTGTTTAGAGGGAACTATTGTTTAAGTTCTGGGAACACTCGTAAATGACTCTTTTCACCCCAGAGGATTCTAGAGTGTTTTTTTACGAATTTGAAGCTGTGCAGTGTGAGAACCATTATTATACAACAACATCATATAGAATATTGGAGAAGATGCAGAATGAGTGACTAAGAACGAATTACTTAGAAGAATAAACTACAGGAAGCCCTGTAGGTAGCAAGATTAAAAAAGAGTGAATAGGATCCTGAAATTATTTTGCCTTTCACACCCCGATCTGTGGGATCTTAAATTACCTTAAATTTGTGCAGTGTATCCTGTCATCATTTTGGGATGGTGGTTTAGGATCTCTGGGTGAGGACTGGACTCTGCCACCCACATTGTATAGCATTACCACCACCAGGAGCAAACTAAATGCCTATCCAAGCAAAAGATCCTAAGGACTCTTCCTGGTTTGACGAGGCCCGTTTTTTCTGGACTTAGATCTGACGATTTTGTTGTCTCTTAAGATGTGATGGCCAAATGTTAAGAACTAATATCCTTTTTTGATAAAAAAGTTAATTTCTTTGATTATTGTCTACAAAATAGACACATTGAGTTGTGCAAAGGAGTGTGCTGAAAGTCGCAAGAGATCAGATCCACTGCACATCTACGGGAATTGTGCTCCTTTCATGTATCTGTAATTCCTGCTGAGAAGCTTCTGTGTATAATTCCACATTCTACACACATAGATCTATTCAATTATGTGTTTTTGCAATATTTATAGTTTCAGGGGAGGGCAAAATGCCGTGTACGGGGAAAAAAAAAGGCTGAGAAAAGTTTTTGTGTTAAACTGTGGATTAAGTGATTCAAAAGGAATCTGTTACACGGATTTTCTCACAAAAGTTGTGCAGATTAAAAAATAAACTGCACAGATACTGCATACGTGTTTTAACTTAAGGATCTAATGAGCACTAGTGCTTTTAGTCCAGAAGAAACCAGCAGATTACTCTAGGTTATAGAAGCAACTTTGCCAGAGTTCAACTATTCACCTAGTGCACAATTTTACACAAACAATGATATAATTCTGACTCACTGTAAAAAATTTTAAATAAGGTGGAGCCATAAAACAAAGCCTTTCTCAGATCTTAGCGGTATACGAAATGTTTAGCTGGTTAACTCTGTAACTCCCAGACCTTGTGACATAGAGTGTGTGGAATGTATCTGAACATTTAGACTGCTGCCTTGAGTGAAGTGATATCTTTTTTTGATTGTTAAAAAGGGAAACATGTACGTTAATCATTAAATAAATGAGAAACTTTTAGATGGAAATGTAATTAAGCTGTTAGTAGTTGTATGACCAAGGAGTTCAGAATCGTCTTAACTTAACTGTCAGTAGATGATTCCTGCTGAACTGAAATGACAATGCTAGGTAATTGAGTGACAGTTCTTAATGAATCGCAAAGCCGGGTTATGGTCTCCAGCATTTCTAGCTGCAACATCTGGTGTGGTTTTTTGCACTTTGTAATAGTGCTGTGCTCTTTTTGAAGGAACGATGACTTGAAAGAAATGTTGGAAAGCAGCAAGGACTCACTCAAGCTGGAAGCTATGAAAAGAATCGTTGGGGTAAGCTTGACAGATTTAAATGCAAAATTAAATAAGTACAAGAGCATAACGTTTTGGCTGCTGTGCCTCCTTCGGGTGTCGCACCCTTTCTATTTATCAGCGTTGAATTAATAGCTTTGCAGGCAATGCACCATGAGGTTTAAAGCACTGAACATAAAAAAGCAAACCATGAAGTAAACATAGCATTTGAAAAAAAAGCGAACAAACCAGTGGTTTATTTTCTAGTTCATTAAAAGTGATTTATTTCTCCGTTTTTTTAACTGGGGCCGCAGTGGTAAGGCCTCTGGATCAGAAGCTCATGAGTTCAAATGTCAAGGGTGACGCTACTGTTGTACCCTTGAGCTGGGGACTTGCATTGCTCTCCTCAACACTTGCTGTATTAGAAGGATGCTGTCTGGGTCATTGTTGCAGATCAGAGTTTGTTCCCGTTTTGACTTGATCTTGTTAAATGACGGAGTAACTACAAAGAAAAATCACTTGCCGTCTTATCTTGCCCCATCCTGGTCATGGTCTGTGATCATTTTCTAGTTTCTTTTGTCCACACTGCAAGTGTTGAATTCTAATGAATTACCTGCCACACATCCCCAAGGCTGCCCTTGTAATTAATTTTGTATTTAATGGCTAATGGAGACTGGATCTAGCCACAGTCCTGGCTCTGCTAATTTCCTCCCTGTTCCTCTGTTACTTGGCAAGAGTCCCTTTCCACACTGTCACACTGTGGCCATTCAATACTCAGTGGATCTCTTGCCAATAAGTATATATCTGCTTGATTCAGACGAACCAGGAAGAATGCAACATTTCCTAAATGAGTAAGTAGGAGTATATTTACAGTACTGTAATGAAAATGCACAATAAATTTTATCACCAAAGAGCTTTTTCAGTTGTTACAGGTTCAGTAGAAACTGGATAGCATGTACCAGTTGTTGTAATAGACAATAACACAGTTTGGGAACTGGAATATATTGGTATTTGTATTATACTATTTCTTTTCTGATTATTTACATCTGCAAATTTGTTTTTCAGATGATTGCTAAAGGAAAGAGCGCATCTGATTTATTCCCAGCAGTTGTGAAGAATGTTGCGAGTAAAAACATTGAGGTACGGTATGAGAAGTCATGAATCCGATGCACACATGTAATGGTTGTATGGTGTTTTCAGTCATGCTTTTCAAAAAGAAAATAAGCAGAAAGAATTAGTGTAAGCAATGAGATTTGGTTCTGGGTGATCTGAAACAAAAGTTTTGCATGGGGCTATGTTAGAAGATTCAGATTTTGAAAAAGTGGAAAAACACAGGTTCCTGTATAGACAATCATCAGTTTTATTAACTGCTTCCTAGATACGATAAGCAGTGGTATCTTTTCTTGTTCCTTGGATTAATTTCGGTAAGTTGTCTTGGGCAGATAGTTACCTTAAGGCTAGTAAAAAATTAAACTCAAATCAACTCAGCTGTAACATTTTTGTTTTCTTATTTGGTTAGCTTGTCCAGGATTCACATTGCCTTTGCCTTTCTATTACCATAGATGCTGCTAAAAGGAAAATTAATTTTCATTTAAAGCCTCATGGCTGCTCATTTAGCAGCAGGTATTATATTCTAACACTGCATTTTCCATGTACATTACTTGATTTTTCCATAGATGTAGACATATTCATACAAAATCAGTAAAATGGAGGCATCTACAAAAAATCACAGTTACATTGTGGCTCAGTTATTTCCATAAAAGTGTTTCAATACAGCTGCAGATTGGTTACATATAGTGAATTCAGACAGTATAACCATATAAATATATAGAACAAGTCAAAAGCTGACTATGGACCTCGTAGGTTCATATTTTTAGAGTCCCCTCTACCTCCACAAATTTGGAATAATCAATTAACTTAAAGTCTCAGCTGAAGTTAGTCTTGGGGAAACTAGCCAACCAATATGTCTTCTGCCTGCTCTTTGTATTATGGTTATACAATGGGAACAGCAGAACTTGTATGTAAGGCAGTTAGACAGAAGACTGATCAGTCCTTAAAGTTTATCCTTTCTAGACCAGTGGAGATTCTACCATGAGATGTGACCTCTGGTGACAGTCATGTATGAGCTGCCAGCATATGTAGAACAGTGTTATGGACCTCATCTTTCATTCCGAGGAGTTTTTTCCAAATAAAAAATTTGGCTAGCTCTCTTTGATAATTTTTATTAATGATGGTCTACTAATGCTAGGGGATGTTGTTAATCTTCATACAGAATTATACAGAAGCTCACATACTTTGAAACTTGATTTTAGCACTTAAAGTAGTAGTTTTTCAATCTGAAATAACGCACATGACACTCAGACATAAATGAGCCAGCAGACCCACTTCACAGTAGATGAGGTAGAGAAGTGAGAAATGAATTCTTCCATTGAATTAAAGAGAACTTAAGGTACTCCATTTTATGCAAATCTACAGAGGAATTTAGCCAGCACATTAAACTGGCACGCCTATGCACATGAGAAGTGCATCTTTAATGACCATGTAGTCAGGACCTCAGTTCAATATCTCTGGCATGGCACTTCCAATAGCATCGTGTCCTTATTGGGTCATTGGTTTGGATATTCTGATCCAGTGGAAAGAGTGCCACCTACTGGCCCATCAGCACAAGTTCCAGAAGGATCCTGGTTTTGAGAACTAGTATGTTGAGGCTACAATATGGTTGTGCCACTGGTCGACCCGTCCTGACAGTCTAATAGTTCTAATCATGTTTGACATAAGAGAGGCTGGTTTATTTGTTTCACATACAAGTGACATTCAAGCCTGTTACAGCATTACGTGTATATTTACCAGCAAACCATACAGTAGGTGCTTCAGTGGAGACAGATGGACCGTAAAAGGTTTTTATGAAATCACCATTTTAATTTCAGCCCCTGCTGCTCTTAAATTAGGTCACAAGATGCATTGTGTGGCATTGGGTAGTGACTGGTAGCTTCTGTGACCCAGTAATGGATCAGTGGTATGGAACAAAAATAATAGAAGGTTTAGCCAATAAGTCATGAAGTCTCATTCGTGAATAACGATTAATGAATTAAACAGCTGGCAATGGGAGATCCGCCTGTGTTCTTGAAGCTTAATATGGTACTGTTGTGATTAGTTCCTCTGCTGGGAGCAGCGTAACACAGAAAAGCAGTAAGTGGTGGTAGAAAGCTGAGGTCACGTTGTAGCAAGCACTCCTGTTACTGGTCACACAGAGGCTCGGTTTGAGCAGAGAATTTTACTGCACACCTGCAGTCACATATTCCACAGGCCTCTTGTGGCTGACATTGATCGGATCTAATCAAAACCAGCACAGGAACAAATCGACTGTTTTGCTGCCTTCTGTGATTTAATATTGGGATGCTGTGTTCCTAAACTAGTGCAAAAATGGTTTTGGAACAGCAGCCTCCAGATGATTTTTTTTTGTTCAAAGAGAAAGTAATACAGAATCCATCAAGTCATTTATTTGGTTAGATTGCTAGGTTGTGACAGTGTTGGAACATTTTTCATGGTGCCAAGAGTCTGAAGTATCCTCTGGGTACAGTAGTGACTGGCCAGAGACACCCTAAGGTCATGATTTTATTCTCTGATTTAATTGTGACTCACCCTAGGATACTTTAAAGGCCACTACAGTGCTTTAGAAAGTAATAAGTTTACCAGGTAGACTTCAGGGGCTGCCAGACAAGCTTCCTTTTACTGGATGATTTCCTTTCAATATTGTTTTTTTTTGGACACCTTGGAAACCTTCCTGTAACATAAGAGGTTTTCAGTTCTGCCAACTTACACATAGCTGAAAAAATAAGAAGTTCCCCATTTTAAATTGCCGACTGATCCAGGTTTTAGTTTTTGTTAAAAAGGTCAATGTTAAAAAAATCATCCAGCTTTATGCTACTCAAAGGATCAGTTTGATTAATTCTTGAATTTTTATTGCCAGAAAATCATTCACTTGTATGAAGTATTGATTTTGAAATAGTATTGGACAAATTGCTCTTCATCTCACAAGCGCTCTCCTTACAGTGATATCCTCAGAGTGATCGTACAGTAATTCATAATTGCCATAGTAGTTATCAGGTGCTCTTCAAATATGATAATTACCACATTGGCTTATATCAAATTTAGATGTGTTCAATTAGTGGCATTAGAAAATGAGAAAAAATAGTTCTTGGTTTTAAAAAACACTTCAGTAGGAATATATATATATAATATTTAAGCATTGCTAATATATTTTGTATTCCTTTGCATAAGTGTGCACCCCACAAATTGTTCAATATTCCATTTGTGAGTTTCATTGAACCCTAGCAGGTGTTAAGAACTTAACACTTGGGTATAACTAGTCAAAGTTGCACCTATGTAGTAGTTGATATCCTCAAAAATACCTAAAAAGCCTGAAAAGCAGGATTGTATCAGACCAATTGGATGCTTTGATAGAATTTGGATTATAAGCTCATTGTAGAGCAGCTCCTGAAGACATTAATGGGTGTCAGCAAAGATGTGGATTTTTAAGAATTAACACAAAGTTAAGCATATATTTTAAAAACTGTACAACCAGGCCTGTTCTTGGCTTCCTATTCAAGCCTATAAGGCTTACTTTGCATAATCAAGGGTTTGTATAAAGGATTACATTCCAAATTCTCAACAGATTTTTTAATGTACTTCCTTAGTGTACCATGTTATGCTTGTTAAATGTGGCAAAATAACATGGTGAAGTACGGTACATGTTTTCTGTATGCATATGCTTTAGCTACATTTCCTGTTGCTTTACCTATTTTTAATAGCTTGCAGGATGGCAAAGCCCCAAATATTATCATGTTTTAAATAAGAATTCATGCTGTGGGTGGCAACACCTTTGTTTGCCATTGTGAAGTCATATAGGCAGGGAAGCCTCCTTAACTGCTCAGCCAGATTGGAATGCTAAACAAAAACAATAGCGGAAAATCTCAGCAGATGGAGCTCCACCCTAAGGAACTCTGAACCATTTTATTATTGATCAGCTTTAAATTCAAAATCAAAGTTTTTGGCAGAACTATACATGCAATTGCTTTTCCTCTCTATTCCATTGCAGTTCTTACATTTCTTCATTTCTTCTTTCAATGGTGTTGTTTTCTCTTTTGCTGTTTAATCGGTGGATCTGTATGGGGCCTGTACGATGAAGGAATTCTTTCCACTTCATTCAGTGCACCAAGCGAAATTTGTCCTGTTCCTTACCTTTTGGTTTTCATACCTACATGTTGATAAGGTGTGGGAGGTAATGAGAGAATGATGCTCTTTTCACTAAATTATCAAGCAAAAGTAAAAAAAAACAACGCATTTTTATGTCTAAATGCCAAGCATTGTTATTTATCATATAATTATGAATGATTTATGCAGTGTTTGATTAATAAGTAATGTTTAATTTTAATGTATTGTCTGCAATATTACCTAATTTATCCAAACTCTCGTAATGAAATGTTAGAAAAATAGCAACAAATCTTCTGTGCTTCTTGTGTGTCTGTTATTCTGAAAAAGAACTTGTCATTCAGGTTACATGTTCCTTTAATAATGTGGTCCAATTGCTGTTTTTCTAACAGAATGCTTTATTTTTTTAAGTACTAGCTAGTAATTCATATTAGAAGAGCCTGTATTTTATGAACTTGTGAATCTGAAATTTTTCACGCATAATTATGGCAATACAACCTCAGTATTTCAATTATTATCCTTATCAAAGTCTTAACACTTATTTATTAAATTAAAAATTCCTGACATATTAGCACTGTATCCTTTTAAACTAAGTTACGCTATTAATTTGGTGATAATTGATGAAATTATGATTGAAATCCTACTGTTCACCAAGTTCAAGCTGCTTAAATGGAGAAATCGAAATGAATTATGAAATATTTGATCTCTGCACTCCAGATGAAACACTTCAGCACATCAGCAAATATTTGAACACCCTTTCCTCTTTCACACAGTCACCAGTACTGTAGAGAAACGATAACAGCACAAGTGCCTGCTGACTGGTTCTGGTTTTTCTAACAAAACTGTTTTTTTATTAATCTTCCATTGAAAGGGCAGTCCCTTCCAAAAATAATAGGAAGCTCTTAGTCTCTGTGCTGCAAAATAAATAAGAGGGGGAAAGAAAGAAGAAAAAATGTTAAGTGATTTTTTGTTTCCTTGATTAGAGAAATTAGAGAAATTAGAGAAATATGCCTGAGAAATTTACCAGCAAAGCAATAATACTGCAAAAACAGGTACATGTAATGGCTTTTCAGAATGTTGATTTTGTCCAAAAAATCATAAAAGTCCACAAAATCAGAATGCTTCGATTAAGGCAAGTGAATGTTTTCTTTTTTACTTATTTGCCTTTAAATTCTGCTCTAAGTCACCAGCTCTTTCTTTCAGCTGAAGAAATTGGTGTACGTGTACCTGGTTCGCTATGCAGAAGAGCAGCAGGATCTGGCCCTGTTGTCCATCAGTACCTTCCAGCGTGCACTGAAGGTCAGTCTTCATTTAGAATGGGTTTTTCCAGGCTTGCACCGTCACATTTCTGTTGGGGCGCTTCTCCCGAAAATGCACTATAGCAGTGCCGTGGTAAGTGGCTTGTCAGCCAGAGGTCCCCTGGAGCCTGATTTTATTCAAACTGGAATATTTGTATTAGGAATATTCAAGCATTCTTCTGTCATGAAGTTGTCATGGGGTGCTGTTTCAAACGCATCTCCCCTGGGGGGTATTTTTAAAAATGTCTTTCACCTCACATTTCTATCAGTGTTTAAAATCAACACTCACACAGTGGGACTGACAAGGCCTCTGGTGGATTTTGTTTAGAACAGTAGTATTATTAATAATTGCCAATTTTAATTTGACTTTCTCTCCAAATCTGGGAGGGTCCTGACCAAGACTGAGTTCTTGAAAGGGCTGGTCAGAAGAGATACTTGCTGTGTGGTATTTGGTCTTTGTTACGTAAGTTGCATGTGTGTGTGTGTGAAAGATCAGAGTCAGCCTGAGACACATTAGTGCTTAAAACCTTGATTGATGGATCACTAAATATTCGGAAGAATATAATTATATCTTAAACTTATAACCTTAGTGAAGTATTGTTCAATAAGAAATCCAGAAAAGTGTAGTATATGCGATCAAGTGTTAATAAAGCAAATTTTTACAGTATTTCTGATTTTGGTCTCCGGTAGCTGCTGTAACACTTTTTCGGGATTGTCTTGGTTGCTTTGCTTTTTTTGATGAGAGCGAAATGTGGGAGGCTGAAAGACTTTAAAAACTAGTATTTTAAATTGGGAAAGTGTATTTTTGAGGATGATGATGACAGTGTCATATAGGAATTTTAAAAACATCCTCAGGCCTGTGAATGTGAATCTGTTATAGCGAATTGTGATGAGTTGAGAAAGTTAGGCTGTATTTGAATGATTTAGAGAGACATGTTACATTTTATATAAAAACCAAGATTGTTACTGCTGTTGATGTAACTTCATTTGAATAAGATATTGTTCTGTTATTTCTAATTCTGTTGAAAATAATTTGAATAGTTTATTTAATGGTACTAAGCGGATTGGTACTTACAGATATTTCTAAATACAAGGTGGTATTCATTAATAAGTAGCTTTGTTTTTTAAAAGGTTTTTAAATGTTACCTGCTGCTCGCTATGAATAGAACAATGAATAGTTTAGGCCCATCTATCAGGGTGACAGGATTCTAAGAGGGTTTCTGTCATCCAGATCGGTTTCTATGAGTTCCGTTACCTTAAAACTGCTTTTAATGCATATGCCTGAGGAAGTCTATGAAATTCCTGTGCAATCCATTCTTCTCATCCCACATCAGCCAAGCATTGATGTTCCAATTCTAGAAATGTGTCATGGGAGCCACCAGAGACTGCAATTTTGAAATTTTTATTAATTTGATTAATATACTGTTGTATATACAGTAAGTTTCAGACTCATCGAATTACGATGAAATACTTACCTGATGATTTAAAAGTTGTAATCGGGGGCACTTCATTCTTGTAGTCGGTCTTGATACTCATTTTCAGTCTTGTGGAAAATCCATTTGAGCAGAGAAAGACAGCAAGTTCCATCAACACTAAGTCCACTTCCAAACCACACTGTTCTTTTTTTCTGTGGCCATTAACCTTTTGTTTGCTTCCTATAGGTTATATGTATCTCTTCAGATATTATTTTTACGGAGATTATTACAGTTTATTGAAACACAAGTTTCATATTATTCTTTATTGTTCAGAGGCCTAATGAGTTGAAATCAAGTACATATCCAGTTACTGTTAGGATAACACTTGAAACGACTTCCTACACTGTAGTGTTTTTTCATGATATAAGACTGATAATTTTAAATCTATTATGTCATAGTAATGCACTAGGTGTCTTCTTATATGTGTGTATTACATTTAATATTTATCATAGATCTAGATCAAGGTGAATGTAATGTTGCTGTATTCTTAATTAACAATGTCGTATGTTCATATAGCCTTCAGCATATGGACAGTTTTTGTTTTTGCTTTATGTGTCTTATTTTAAAAATAATCTAACTAAACTAAAGACTAAATAATTCTAAAATAAATAAATTGTATTTATTTAAATAAATGTAATGAAATACATTAACCAGTATTTCATTTTTTTTCAGAACTATAGATTTTCTTGTTTTTACCACAGAAAATGTATATCGAGTATGAATCTAAAAAGGTTTGCAAAAAGTAAATGGTTTTCCCTGCATAAATTGCAGACATTTCCACAACTTACAGAGCTAGAAAACTCAAGTAAATGCCCCGTACACGGATATTTGAGCACATTTCTGGACTCGGGTTTTTGAAAGTATTATGGCAGAGGCAGAAAGCAACGGTCAGATATCCTAACTGAGACGTTGACGTTTTAAAAGCTGCCTCTACGATTCTCACTCCTGTACAGAAAACCTATTTCAACCCCTGCTAGTTCTCAATCATGCTTCAATTTATCTTAACAACGGGCTCTGAAAAAGGTACTTTCAGCCTGAAACAGACTGCTGGCACAGCACTTACAGGTAGGTAGTCCACCGTGTATGAAACTGTCCAAGATGGGGCTTCAGAGCTACGGTGATGTGGCACCAAGTTTAAGTATTACAGCATGTTCACAGAGCAAGCAGAGAAGTGTGTGACATGCTGCTCAGAAAGCCAGCCAGCCAAGCATATGATGCTTGAGCTAAAACGCCTACCGTATGTACTGCTTGGCTTTTCATGATGCCGTTGTATTACATTTCATGTGGAATGTAAAAATCAATAATGAAATACATTTTTAACTGCAAGCAGTGCTTTACCTCTTTAAAGGCTTTTGGCAAGAAATATGCAGAAGATTGAAATCATCACAAATGTAAAAGACTGCAATTAAGTATAGCATTTTTAATAGGAAATGAGGAATATACTTTGTTTGGAATACCCTCAAGGATATTGCCTGATATAGCAAGTTACATTAAACATGTAGACGTACAGTTTTTAAGGCTAAAGGGGAATAAAGTGCACTTACCTTTAGGTGTTTTCTGTTCCCTCTGTTTTGTAGGATCCTAACCAGCTGATCCGTGCAAGCGCTCTGAGAGTTTTATCCAGCATCCGAGTGCCTATTATTGTTCCAATCATGATGCTGGCCATTAAAGAAGCAGCTACTGATTTGTCACCTTATGTCAGAAAAACTGCAGCTCATGCGATTCAGAAACTGTACAGGTAAATGAATCTTGGTTAAAGAGATTGAATGGACAAATATTCAAGAATTACACAGTGGTGTAAAGCATGCTGATCATAATTGCATTCTTTTAACATTACCACACTGCTAAATAAAATCCATTATTGCTTGTGTATGCACATCTTTGTGAAATTAATGTTTTTTACCACGTAACATAGGAAACTAACCATTTTGTAGTGTGAGGGCTAAGACTAAAGATTTAATTTAGTGTAAGAGTGAGGGAGGGGAAAATCGAAAACTCTTCAGGTGAAAAGTCTGGTAATAGGTGATTATTTAGAAACTATTTGAATGCTGTAAGAAATATACATTCTTCAGTAGTCAGTTTTTTTTTTGTTGCTTGTATGTTTAATAATTGTATTTGTGTTGTATCGTTATCTTTTCCTAGTCTTGAACCGGATCAGAAAGAACATTTAATTGAGGTCATAGAGAAACTGTTAAAGGACAAAAGCACAGTAAGTACAGTGACTAATCAGTGCCGTCTTGGTGAAATTAATTTGAATTTACTGCTGGCATCTGACATTGAGGGAATTTGCCAAGGATGTCCCTTTACATACATTACGCCTGCCTGATATTGAGGTTTGTGCTTCTGGAGAGAAATAAGCTTATCTGTTGACGACCTGCCTTTACCAAGGCATTTTAAGGCTGGGCCTTTCTGTGCAATAAGAGTTGTTGGACACATGGGGGAGACCTACTCAAGCAGTTTTATGTGGTTACATGACTATGGACATAATTTGTTTATTCATTTTGATGTTATTGTTTCAATGTTTTTAAATGCAATTGGAATTTGCCATTTTTAATTTTAAGTTATAAAGAGATGTAAACACAGTGAACTTCTTTCAAGTGCCAGCTATCATCTACTGAAGGTTGTATTAAATCTAAATGAATGCTAGCTGTAAACAAGTGACTGCTTTCAGTGAAGTTACTTCTTTTTCCTGGGGAGTGGGAATTGCTATGTTAAGCAGACAAGTAAAGAAAATGTATTAACTTGTAATTGATAGGTGACCAGAAAATCTGATGTTCTTTAAATATCTGGCACGATTGATTTGCATTTTAGAATTGGTGTTTTCCATGTTTTTAAACTTTATTTTTATATGTATTATGATTTCTTTTTTGCTCCATTATAAAGATTTTATTATTTTATGCCTTCTTGAAATATGTAATGGTAGCAAAAAAAAAAAGATGCAATTGTTTTTTTCAGAATGTATTTTAATATTAGTAACAATTAAGGCTATAGGCAATATCCCTTTGTACAAAGACTGTTCACAAAGCTCATTTTTCTATATTGTGGTTTATTTACTATGTAACACAAAACGTAAACACAGGAGAAAAGCATTGCCACACTTCATTTAATTCTTGTGATGCATTGAACCAGTATCACCAGAGACACAAGACTAATGGTTAAAATGTTAGACTAGTTTTTTACCTGGCCACATACAAAAGCATACTAGTACTAGAGCTACTGTACATACATGAAACTCTCTGCTTTTGAGTGTTTCTTCACTCCGCAGTTATAAAAACGAAACTAGCATGTGTTCAGGAGTAGACTTAAATGCTAACGTAAATGGGGAGTGTTGGAGCTCGTTTTTAAACATTGAAATATATTATTTGGAGCCCTGCACATTTAAATTAATTTAATAATTGACATTTAGATTGGTAACATACATTCTTGAGGTTATGAAAGGACCTTTGCCAGGCAGTACATCTGTATGAGGTAAAAAGACAAACATAACTCCTCTTTTCTGTCTGGTATTAGAAACAGTGTGGGTGTACTATACGTCCCTTTTGTTTGGATTTAAAAAATCAAGAAAACGCCTAATTTAAATGCCTGTGTAATTAATAGCACAGGTGTTAGGAAATGTGTGAGAATATCGGGAGCAATTTAATTAATGCCCATGATACTTGGTAACTAAAAGAAGATGGCATCATTGTAGTAACCTTTAGAAGAGTTCCTTTGTATCTCTGACAGGCTGAAAACAAGCCCTTGGTGTTGTTTTTGTAAACCTTGTTCATTTAACAAGAGCTGACAGGGGAAAGCCAAGCTAACTTGACAGCATGAAGAAGGTTTAATGCATTCCTTCCTCTATTTAATTTAGGCCTTGTGACAGAGTAATTTTCACTATAGAATGGTGGATTCGTAACAGTTTATGTACACTGTATAAATAATAAAAAAGAAAAGGAGATCTTCATGCTCCCCTTGTCTTGATGACTGGGTCTAAAGATTTATCTTTAATTATCTAAGAACTGTAATGTCAGAAACCAGCAACTGCACTCTCCAGCTTTTTAATTCCCCAATCACAAATTAAAGCATTCACACAACACACTTAAAAAAATAATTTAAATCTAGAAGATGGAAGATGTTCAGGCTACAAAAGCAACTGTAAATTAATTGAAATTCATGTAGAAAATATCATGCGCCAGATGCATTGCATGTTTACTTAAGGTTTTAATGAAGAATGATCACTTCCCTGTACAAAAATGCTCTTTCTCAGGGAGCCTTGTAATGAGCTAGCAGGTGTCATTTGGATCATTGCAGGCAAAACAGTTTTGCTCGAGCGAGATATTTTACCATTTTGTTTGTGTTTTGTTCCTGGCAGCTTACCTATAAAACAACAGTAGTAAATATTTGTTGTTCTTAATCAATTTTATTCCTTGTTGTTATTGGCAATGTAATATTCATTTGTTACTGTTTTGGCTTTCGTGGACACATCTTATTCCATATCTAGTTCCACACCTGAAGAAAATATTTGTGTAACACTCTACCAGTATCAACTAATGAATACAGAAAGGTTCTTTGCAAGACTTGATTGGTTTTGTGGTTGTGTTTTTCTAATATGAAAAATATATATAAAGTATATATTCAAGACCTAATTCTAGTTGAAAAGCGACACATTTGTTTCTAGATGGAAAACTTTCGACTGAAAGAAACTTTAAATAACAGAAATAGGTGGGACACTTTGGTGTCTTTAAATATAAATAAAATATAAATTGTTAAAAGACTTTCATGCTGTAAATGATGTAACCCATTTTTGACCCACTGGACAATTGAAATAATTACTTTATATTAATGTGCTGGTGTTTAGCAGAAATCAAGTTATCTTAAATTCAGGACTGTGGTTCAGATTCATTGAATGAAGAAAACTGTTGTATTCCGTAGCATGTGTATTATAAAATGTCTACCAGATAGTGGAAACTATATCTGGAATGTATAATAACCTTATAAAACCATTCTTTTCAATCTTGGTGTTTAAGCATTTTAGTCACTGTTTAACATTAAAGGGTCAATATTAAGGATTATAGTCAGTTATTGGACTGCATAGAAAGTTATGTTTGAAGCTATAGGACTCCTATCATTACATATTTTATTGTCTTCATCAGACATCGCTAACTACAGTATATGGAAGAAGTGACCCTGACCATTTGATGCTGTGCAGTGAACTTAAGCGAACTTGAGATAGGGCTTATAAACACAGTCAGTTCATTAAACTACAGTTCAAACTTCTGAAATTTCATTATGGTCTTATTTAATAATAATATATATTAATAATAAACTTTATTTTATATAGCGCCTTTAAAGGTGG